TCTCTGAAAACAAAAAAAAAAAATTTAAAAAAAAAAAAAAAAAAAAAAGATAGTTTCCATGGGTTCTCCAGAAATAAATACTTTCAAGACCCAGCTTTTAGCCAAAAATATCAGGGTACTTGTAAGCAAGAAGATTTTGGAATTGGAAGAATTAATCTCCATAAAGTCTTTGGGTGCACCAGATCCCCCAGTCATAATGAATGTAGCATTGCCATTAGATGTGGATATGAATGGATCCTGGGAAAATAAGAACATGATTTATAACTTGAGCGATCGATCCATCAGGAGTTGACCAAAGGGGTCTGAGTGACTTCTGATAGAAGTCACACTTATATGATGGCAACTTCATTTTGGAAGTATACCAGGAGACTCCTGGTGATGACATTGCAACCTACTGCAATTTGCCTTTCTTTTATGTCCAAGGTAGGACTGATAGTCAGCAGTGATATCTACATGGCAAGCCTACTGGCCTTTTCTTCTTATTCATACAGTTTGGCTTAAAAATCCAATTTCTTACTCTGGCATGTAAGACTGCATAATGTGGCCCCTGCCTCCCTCCCTTACCCAATATTCCAGCCCTCTCCACTAGTCCACTAAACCTTAAGACACATTGACTTTATTACTGTTGACCCTGAGAAAGAATGTACCTGCTAAGAAGGACTCTTTGTGGTTAATCAGGCCCAAATTCGTAATTGGAGTCTAGCAGCCTTTGTTTATGTGGCCTCTCATGCGTGCAGTATTTCAGTCAAAAGGCACAGACCGGGCGGCCAAGCTCCCTGCGTTGTGCCCCTGTTGGCTGAGCCGACCCTTATAAAGAAGTTCCTGGGATCACGTTTTGACCAATAGGATTGGGACTCTTTAGGATACAGTTACTCTGATGCTTAATCACTGGGAAAAATATTTTTTGCTCTCCATCCAACAGGATTTCTTTAATTTGTCTCTTGATATAATATGAAAAAAGATGTTAAGTCAAATGAATTACTAATTGCCAAATATAATTTGAGCAGCATTTAAGTTCCGGATACCTTTTAATGGCATGGTTTATATTTTATACATATAATAAAAACTAAAAAGTACAGACACACATATTCTTGATGAGTATGTAAATTGGCATTACTCTTTGAAGGGGAAATTCATACTGTTAATAGAGAATTTAAGTTTTAATTCAATAATTTTATTTCTAGGAATTTATTCTAAAATCACTACTGCATATAGGCAAAGGTGAGTGGTTAAGGGTGTTAGCTGCTGTATTTTTGTTAGCATAGCCCAAAATTGGAAACAACCTCCGTGCGCATCAGGAGTGGACTGGCTAAGTAATGTATGCACATCCATATAAAGGAACATTATGCAGCGATGAGAAGAACATGGCTTGTGCTGTTAATGGAGGTGGGCCACGGAGTGTTCAAAGCTTTAGGAGTGGTAACCTGACGTCAGACTCTGGGATTCAAGTACCAGCCCCGCCATCTACTTGCTGTGTGACTTTGGGCAAGTTACTTATTCCCTCTTTGCCTCAATTTTTTCATCTCCGAAATGGAAACTTCCAAAAGCAAACTTCACAAAGTTGTTAAGAGGATTAAATAAGATAAAACGAGTTAGTCTTTTAGTGCTTGGCATATAGAAAGTAGTTAACAAATGTTATTATGGAAAGAATTCCAAAGTGAATCATTAAAAGGAAACATCATTACCACCACACAGATTAGTGTGTATAGGCTAGAAATAGATGAGACTCTATGCATGAATTACAGACAAAGCGTGGCAAGGATACTCAAATGCAACTTCCAGAGGTCATTTCTATATATCTGGAATGAGAAGAATATTGTTTCATTGAGTATTTTTTCTATGTACAAGTATTCTATGATTTTAAATTTATTTTAAAAAAACAAGAAAAACTAAAAACACATAGATGCTCAGATTCTATAGGATGGCAGAAATAGAACCACCTGGATTCACTGATATATTTTTAATGGTCAATCGGATGACATTTTTAGAGCCAAAAGATCTATTTTTGTGCACCATATGTACACTAGTGTTTAGGATTTCATGGAAAACTAATTTTTATAATGATTCTCCCCTCTTCTTAATGATGAATTACTTAGATTTTCCACTTGATGTAACAGAGATTCAAGCTAAATTGCCTTTCTTGCTGGAAGCTAAGGAATGAAATGGAAAAATGCCCCATGTGCAGTGCTCAGTGGAGCCCTTAGGGTACTGGAGGGGCCTTCTGAGTTGAAAGACTGAAATGTCCTTTGCAATGACTTTTCTATCCAGCATCCGTGTAAATCCTATGCTGAACTGTCCTTCTTGTGTAAGTCCCTGGTGGCCCTGTGAATACCCGCCTACAGAATGACTTGATTAAACAAGTCTGAAGTTGATCTTCCTTTGGCTTTTTGCCAACAAAAGGCCTGGATTTAGGAGGCCGAGGTTGTTCTACCGCAGAAAAGAATTCTCAGGATGCAGGGATCAGGAAAAGCACCATGAGTGTCCCCCACACCTCCACATTCAGGCTTCTGGGGTTGCTAGAAAGCCAGGCTCTCCTTTTGGTCGAGGAAAAGAAAAGTTCCCATGTTGCAGTAGGTTTGGTGACGCCATCAATGACCTGAGAGTTCATCCAAATTTCCACATAAATTTAAATCCTGTGCAACAATTTTTAAAAGTGTGGTCAGGGTTTATGCCATTTGTCTTAAAATCAAATGATCACAATTCATTCATTATTAAGGACTCTGTTGTATTTTGAATCGTTGGCTCTTACTCTGTCATTAAGGGCTCTCCTTAGAGGATTTCCCCCTCTTTAAAAGTAAGAGGATTTGGTGAGGTTTTGTTCTTTCATTTTCTATTATGTAATTATAGCAGTCTTAAAAGAATTAATAATCCGATGACATTATCATTTTCTTTCAATGCCACTAAATTTAACTTTTTCCTTTCCTGCCCCCCCCCTTCTTTTTGCAAAAAAAAAAAAAAAATGGCAGCCTGTTATCAAAAATGAAAGTCCCTAAGCATGCAGACTTGACGATGCCACCGCTTCAGGGCTCCCAGGTCCACCTGAACCCCCCGCGCTGCCTGCCGTGCTTCTCAGTATCCGATGCGTTTCTCCAGGGAGCCCCACGGGGAGGCAGTTCACGCGCCACCTCCCCCTCCAGCAGCCCTGCTCCTCCGCGTCCCAGGAGCTCCCCTGCCTGACAGGCGGAGGCCCCGGTTCGAGGCCTCGCCATGGCCCCTGTCTCCCCCTCGGCCCCCAGCACAGGCCCTGCTGCCTCCCCTCCTGCCCCTTCCTCCTGGCACACTGACTGCTCCGCCTCTCCTCCCCTTTCCCATCGGGCGATCAGGTCCCAAAAGGTCGCACCAAATGGGGCTCGTCTGAGCTGTGTCATGAGGGAGGGGGGGGTACTTTACACAAAGGCCTAAATACTTTCGAAACTTAAGGTTTTATTTCTTGGATGGAGTGTAACCGTGTTCATTTGAGTGATTGAATGAGACATTCATAGGAAAGTTGAGTGAGAATGTAGGTCAAGGACAAAATAATGTTGTTTTTAACTCTTGTTTCCATTTTCCAGGGTCCTTCCTAATTTGTAGTCCATAATGATCTTACAGTATGTTGAAAAAAATTCCACTCAATTTTATGCCATCTAAGTAGACACTAAATGGCCATTTATTCTCTTTAGTTATTATTTATTTTTACTTAAAGGTATTGCTACATTGCGGGATAACATTGGGCAAGAAAATATAAGAAAAAAGCAAACAGCCAGATACACTTTCTTTTATTTTTGACCCCTGCCTAAAGTTGTTCTTAATTTTTACATATTGGAATTTTTATATCCTATGCGTTAGAATTCTAGCACCTCACAAAAGTTCAAATACATGTCAGCAGATGCAATGACTAAAACAGCTGTAATAATTTGGATATTTTTTTTTTGCTTCAGTATACTTTTAGTAACTCTTGCTGATCACATTTCACGCCGAATTTCAAATACAAATCCCCCTCTTGAAACATTGATTTATAATTTAATGCTTTAAAAAGAGAGAGAGAAAGAATGAGTGCCAAATAATGATACTGCCTGGTCGAAGGTCATTGTACTCGGACTGTTTAACTGGTATTTGCCCTTCCATCAGAGAACCGTCGGTGACTGAATTAATACCAGAACAGGAGCAAGACCAGCAGTGGCTGACCTTACGCCCCGACTGGCAGAGCCTCAATGGGACCACTTTGCACCAACTGCTAGAAAAAGGGTAAGAGACCCTTCCCCAGAGCTGTGTAGAGTGAGCGCATTGTGGAGAGAGGCTATCGTCAGGGCCCTTCTGCTGTTTCTAACTTGAGATAGTTCAAATTTGTCACATCAATAAAGAGCTTCCATAGAATGGTTGTGGGCCTTTATACTTCAACATCATTTGGCTTTATTTTTTTCTAGACATAGATTTTTTTCCTCTTGGCTATGATATTTTTCTTTAATGATGATTATAGAAACTATCAGGTGAAGGAGGAAGAACTTGTGTTCTAATCTTGGAGTTTTTCACTTCCTACTTGAAATAAATTCTCATGTGTGCACTTCTTACTGATGCTACATGTGACTAGTTAACCGGGGGAAGTGAAGTAATGAAAATAGATAAAACTTGAAGGGTCTGAGAGAAAAATGGACATGGAATGGAATTAGAATCAAGTAGCCTTGAAAGTACACTTGTGGGGAGTTTTGTCTAAAAATGATGGCAGGAAGATAAATGGGGACATTAATGCTTATTTAAAGTTTATTACATTATGGGCACATAGCTTTAGAATATATAAATAACTTGCTCAAAATTCACTGCCCACACATGGGAAGGGATAGTCTCTCAACTCAAACCAGGTTTATCTGACTTCAAAGCTTTGAATAAGTCTTAGAGACTCCACCTCTTAAGAATTCCAAAGAAGATAACTAAAGGTGGGCCATTTTTCTTTAGAAAAATCTATTTTCCCCATACTCCAAACTCTGCAGCCAGATTCCTGAATATTTGTCAACTGAAGTACTTCCTCCAGAACAGTGACCTGAATCTCTCAAGAGAATTATATGTTTCCCCAAACTGAGAATGCCAGAGAAGCCCTCTCAGGTCAAAACAATAAATGAAATATCTCATTCTAAATTGGGAGTTGGTAGAACTGGCTCTAGTCCTGGCTTACTAATTAGATATGGGATTTTATAAAACCATAATTTCCTATAAAATAAGTAATTGAGGTGGACAGTCTTTGGTGTCTTTTCCTATTTCTACAAGCTATGATTTTGGACCTAACAAATAACAACTAAAAAATTATTGAGTATCTCTTCCATGCCAGGTTCAGTATTAAGCTCTGAGGGGATGTAGAAGTGAATTTGGGGGACAAGGACCCTGGTCTCAAGGAACATACATTGTATAGGTGGGCAGAGAGACAATAAGCTATTAAACAAAGTGAATTTCAGATATTTGGAAGCGCTACAAAGAAATTAAGGATAAGTGGGGGAGGGGAGGGGAGGAGATATGACTTCAGTTTGTGGGAAGGCAAAAAGCAAATGTGCTTTTTCTGTATTATATAATTTGTTGTATACAAATAATTACACAGGTCATGAAAATTTAGCAAGAAATGAAAATACAGTAAATCTTCAAAAAGAAATGTAGAAATGACATATGTAGGGATGGATATATATGTATATATATATACACACACACACATTCATATCTATATATGTATATATTTTTTTTCTGAGAGGTCTAGGATTCTACATCATAGTATATTTGACAGTCCAAAATATTTTTTGTCTTTTTAGTTTACACTGTGAATAAATGCTTCATGGTTGGAAAAGAGCTTTGTAATTAAAGCTCAACATACCCTAAACTGAATTCTCTAGTGCAGCCACACTGCTAGATGCTTAAACATGGCCCATGTTCTTGCTTTGAAAGGCTAACTGCAATTTTTAGTAAGTTCTTCCTTCCCTGAACCCACACTGCCTGTAAATTCCACCTATTAGTCCTCCCTGCCATCTAGAGTTACCCGGAATGAAGCCAATCCCCCCTTCTTCCCATCAGCCCATCATAGACCTGTAGTTTAATATCAAAAGTCTCGGCAAGATTCCTTTCCAACTTAAATATTCAGTTTCTTTATTTATTCTCTAACTTTTTAAGGTAATATTTTATTTCTTTCAAACTATTTCTCAACCTTTTTTGGATATGCATACCTCTCCATGAGCATAAAAATCTGACATGGTCCCCCTCACTGTAGATTCCAAGAAGCAGCCCAATTCCCCCCACTTTCTTCTCCCTACTTTGAAAATCCTGGTTTGAGTTCATATTGTGGGTGGGGCCACCAGCCCAGATGACGTGGGAAAGTTTGCTAACAATAGCTGCTCTCCTCACAAATATGAAATTATATTATGATATTAAATAAACTAAAAAAAAAGTATACATCCTTTGTGCTCCCCACTCCCGAGGTGATTCTCACCACAGCCCTGCCTTGAGAACTTCCCTCAGGTAAGAGCTGAACCTATGTCTTGCTTCTCACTGGTAGCATTTGAAGTGAGCAATGAACATGTAACTTAATATGATACCTTTTTATGTTTCCAGATCTAAGCAGTCTTGTCGCAGCAGAAGTAAGATTTCTCTTCTGTGTACTAAACAAGGTGAGAATGAATGGTGTCCCAATGGGATATAAACTTCACTTAACTGGGTTGGTTCAGGGGAAAAATAACCAGGTGACAGCAGAGGGCCAAGCATCTAGCTGGGTTTGGGGGTGAGTCACACACACCTTTCTTGCCCCTTGGTAGACTGTGGGCGCCGCCCTGCTGCCCGAATGAACAAGAGAATCCTCGGGGGTCGGACGAGTCGCCCTGGAAGGTGGCCCTGGCAGTGCTCCCTGCAGAGTGAGCCCAGTAAGCACATCTGCGGCTGCGTCCTCATTGCCAAGAAGTGGGTTCTCACAGTCGCCCACTGCTTCAAGGGGTGAGCTGCACCTTTTCTTTTTTGCTTTGCCTGGATCTGATCATTTTGTCACTTGGGCATTCTTAGTGAAGCCACTTTGTGCAAAAGTCACTGTTGATCTACTTCCCGGGCCTTTATCTGCTTAGATTTTTCTACCCTTGGTGTAGTCAGCCTGCATACGTGCTGCTCATTTATTGGCGACGGACATCTTTTGCTTATGATTTACGTCCTAAAGAGGGGGGAATAGGAAGAAGTGTGGCAGATTGACTCTCCAGCCAGTATTCGTCTCTTTTCTAGCCCCTTTCAATACGTTAAATATATGGGAAGTTGAACAAGGTGGTTTACTCAAGGGGATAGTACAGTGAGGGGAGGGTGCTAGGGGAACTGGTGAGGAATTTGGGAAGCAGAGTTAAAGGTACAATATGTGTGTTAGGGTTCTACAGAGAAATAGACCAGAGAGAGATTTACTTTAAAAAATTGCTCACATGATTGTGGCAGTGTGGCGAGTCCAAAATCAAATGGGGTTGGCCAGAAGTTGGGGTAGAATTGCAGATCAAGTCCAAAGGCAGTTGGCTAGTTGAATTCCTTCTTGCTCAGGGGAGATCCGGCTTTGTTTTATTAAGGTCTCCCACTTATCGGACTGGGCCACCTACATTATGGAGGGTAATCTGCTTTACTCAAAGTCCACTGATTTAAATGTGAATCTTATCCAAAAGCATCTTCACAGAAAAATCCATAATAGTGTTTGACCAAGTATTTTGGCACCATAGCCCAGCCATATTAACACATAAATTAACCACAACACTGTGACTAAAGGGAGCAGAAAAATAAGACCAAGGGGATGCCTACCACAAATTGACAAATGTCCCTGCAGAAGGTGCTCATGTGTTCCAACTGTCTGTTATGTAAGTTAGGAGCAAAAAAACCAAACAATAACAACAAAGAAAAAAACCCAAATGTGTTATGCTCACAGAAGATTCTGGAAGAGCATAGCTGGGGTACTTTGTCTTTGCCCAGTGATGTCAGGGCATCAGCTGGAAGGGTCTAAGGCGAGGGGCCACCTGCAGTGTGGCAGTCAGCGCTGCCTGGGGGCTGGGGCCTTAGTTCCTCCCCATGTGGGATGCACAGCATCGCGCCTGGCACCCCAGAGTGAGCTTCCCAAGGAGGGAGCGAGCAGATGCGGTGTCCTTTTGTGACCAGCCTCCAAGGACACACAGCATTGCTTCTGCTGTGTGGCTGGTCAGAGCCCTCCAAGCCCCACCCAGAGACAAAGGGAAGAAACACAAAACTCTCCTCTCCAAGGGAGGAGTGTCAAAGAATTTGAGGACACTTTCAAAATGACCATCATACCACCAGTTTTATTCATTTTATTTTTAACAATTTTACTTTATTGAAAAGTCGTACTAAATAATAGCAAAAATTTAAAACAAAATAACATAGTTCTATCACCTGATTATTTTCATCTGATGAGGTTAATTTCTAGGAAAAAAATGCAATTTCATTTTTGTGTGTGCCTATTTGCCTATTATTTTTTCTCAGCTTTGCCACTTACTGTGTGACCACGGGCCAGTTCATTAACTTCTCCGGGCCACAGTTTCCTCCTCTGTTAAATGAGGGAAATAACAGTCACAGGGGTGGTATAGGCATTAAGTGAACCTCTGGAAAATCTTGGGAATCATGCCTGGTATCAATAAGTAAGACATTGGTAAGACTTTAAAAAAATTTACTACTAAAATCATGCATTCTAACTTTGCCCTTAGCGCTATGGCATGAGCAGCTTTGCGTTTTGCTCGCCCTATTTTTATGTTTTTATCGCCTCTCACACTCGTTTACTTCCCCCTCATCTTCACGGTACCCTCTGTTACAGCCTGGCGAGTGTTCCTCCACAGCCGTAGACAACGACACTTTCCCAAGGTGTCCCTGTTGCCTTTTACAATCTGGAATCAACCCTATGCTTGAGCTCGCGAGGCGACGCTCTCATGTAGCCGTACACAGCAGACATCCCCCAGGTCATTGATACAGCCCTAGCTCATTCTTTTCCAAAGCTAAGTGATATTCTGTAATACAGATTTGCCATAACTTTTCCTGTTATTCCCCAGCTGATGGACATTCAGGTGAGTTCCAATTTGCTACCATTTTAACAATAGTGCAATACACCTTACACAAAGCTACTCACCCACTGGGTGCCCTTCTTGCTGCAGGAAAGAGGCCTAGCATGTGTGTTTAGTTCTGTGCAGGGCTTACAAAGGTGAATACACAGTTCCTTCCTTGGAATGCTAACCGAATGAGGATACAGGCATTTAAACAAATTATTAGAATGTAATGTGATAAGTGATTACAAAATGGAAATGTACATATCCAGTTATTCGATTGTTCTTTTTGGGGATATAAAATATAAAACATCAAGCCAGTACCTTCTCTGGAGAACATTTAGTGTGTAAGACCCAAAATGATTTGAAGAGTCTGTGTAGTCTGTCAGGAAATATGCGGCAATGTTATTGCTTCGGAAGAGGCCAGATGTTTCCAGATGTCTTTTCCAGTTCTGATTTATGACTCCATGATAAGCAGAAGATTAGGCTAGCAAAAGTACATTCATCAAAAGATGATTACCTAAATGAATCCAACAGTTCTTTGAGGGAAACACATTCTTCACGTGCTAGTTCATCCAGGTTCATACCCGACTTTTGTCATTTCCATATGTGGCGTCTAAGTTTCCTCTTTCACGGGCAGATCTGTGCAGTTAAGAAGAAGCAACAGGGAAGAAATATGTGTTTACAGTTAAGGAAATGGATAAGATATCAAAGGCCTTGTTGAAATTTTATGCAGCATTAAACTTAACAGAACTGTCAAGAGGGGCCTGGCTTACCCACGAGAAACTAGAAATTGCCCAACTTCAAACAAGCCTTTGTTTGAATGTGTGCTAATAACTCTGATTCTATTTTACAGTCTCTCCAGTGGCCCTGCAAGCTTCTGAGAACTTCTAATTATAAGCCTTGCTCTCTGCCGGAGCCATCAATTGCTGCAATTAATGGGATTTGCTTCATATCCTGATCCCATCGTTGGGCAAAGCCCCTTGTGACCCATCTGTAGGTCTTCTCAAGCCTGTCTCTTTTAATTATATTGGTGGAAAAAACCCACACATTTGTTTTGCTCTTCCAGAGAGAGGTATTTAAAAATCCCAAATGAAAATTAAAAACATGAGATGCTAAGCAGATCAAATCAAGTTCCATATGCCCTAGTAACAATTCAACTTCAACCGTTGTAAGGGAGAGAAACATTTCCTTCTGGGGGTAATTTTACAAGCAGTTTTCCCGTCTCCTTCCGCCTGTGGGAGATGGAAGCTGAACTTCCTAGGCAACTGGTAATTGTCAGAAGCATCTGTCTCCAGGAGGCCCACACGAACACTGTCATCCTCTATGACCGAAATCCCTACCCCTGCCAGGCCACCCTTGCCTGGACTCTCTGACAGGACTTCTGTCGCCGTCTGCACTCCCCCGTTGTCTCAGTCCTTCAGCCCCTCACCTCCCTCCTTCCCCCAGCTGACTGAGGGCCCCTGCTCGGCACTTCAGCCCTCTCTCCGGGCCTTCACCTTCTCTGTTCCTACCTTTCAGCCAACACGTGCCAGGCAGACGTGTCCTTACCAAGTCATTTTACAGGCTCGGGAAAGGAAGTGAGGGATTGGGCCTGACTTCCTGCGCTGAACCAGCGTTGTGTCTCCATGGTTACTTTTGTATCTTCTAGGTGCTTATGAGCTACGCCAGTCATTCACCTTTTTCTTTTCTTTTCATTTTACCGACTTGAGGGATTCGGTTCATTCCTTTCAGTAATAATATCCACTAAAACAGGAGTTTTCCCTTTTGTAGCCATCCCTCCCCTGGGCTGCTGTTTTCTAGCATCACTGGAGAGTGAGCATCGTGGTTGTAAAAAGCCCTCGGTGTCTCTGACCTGACCCTGCTCTCCCCACTGTCCTGTCCCCCGTGGAGGTTATTCTCTGTGTCCCTTCCCTCTCCAGTGGAAAATGCCTGGGCCTAGGACAGCCAGCAGCTGGCCTAACATACGGGCCAATCCATAGTTTCTGGGGCTTGCCGAAACCGGGAGCCCTTGTCCTCTCACCCTCCATAGCTCCCTATTTGATTCTGCCAGGGTTGCAGCCACCTCCCCGGGGACCCTGCACCCGCACCCGAGCCGCTGGGTGCTGCTGAGCATCGCACCCCGACTGCCGATGGGGGTCACGTCGGTGTGTGGTCCTGAATCCCAGCTGAGCATCTCCCACACGGGGCCCTTCCAATATATTTCCGCAGTAGTCGCTTTTCTGTCCTCAGAAACAACTCTGTGACATCTCCTCTCTTCTCCACCCTCCCCTGATGTCAGCTCATACTTCATGGAGAAAATAGACACCGTCATAGCTTTTCTCCTGGTCTCATCCCCAGTTCCAACAAATTACTTGTATCTATGGCCACATCCCTGACTGTCCATTGAGTGTGTCCCTGATCTTATTTAAGGACAATTATATCCCCTCTCGTCTTTTCAATGACTTTACTCCTAAAATCTTATTTTGCATCATCAATTTCTCTTTTTCTGCTGCGTCATTCCCTTCAGCAAACTTCCCTTCATTTCTTAACTTAAACCCCCTCCTCTTGACTTCACAGCTCTCTTCAGCTATTGCTCTGTCAGCTACTGTTCACAGCCCAACTGCTAGAAGAGTTTCCTACAGTCACTGTCTCCACTTTTCCATCCCCATTTTCTCCGCAACCTACTCCGAATGGGCTCCCACCAGCCAGTTTCCAACTCACTAGAATCCTCCCCAGTATTTCATCACTACCTGCTTCTTCCTGTTTTTATATATTGAATTTATCAGGGTGACACTGGTTCATAAAATTATATAGGTTTCAGGTGTGCAATTCTATAATGCATCATCTATATATTGTATTGTGCGTTTACCGCCCCAAACTACACCCTTCTTGAAATACTTTTTTCATTTTTCTTTTAGCGTAACGAAACATTTCTTGCTTCTCTCTTAT